ATCAATGGATGTCAGAAGAAATTCATGAGCTTACACCTTCAAACCGTATTAAAAAAAACCTTCATATTCATTACTCGCAAATGGGTAGAAATTGCGTGGATGTCTCTTGATCCAAATTTAATTAAACGTTCGTTTAAATGTTGTGGAATATCTGACGAGATTGTTATTTCTAACGCTAATACATAGATGATATTTGCTTTTCTCGTCATTGTTAATTTAAGTGATACAAATAAAAATACGCACCACAAGGGGGGGGACTATACAGAGCATTACAGTATGTTCTAAAATGATCAGCTTATTTTTTCTAAGACATACAAAATTGAAAAAATTAACTTTTTTTATTGGTAATCAATTTAATGATAAATTTTTATTGCCATATAAACTAATAGCATTTATTATAGTTGATAACAATGGATTTAAAATTTGTGGACTGATAAATAGGTAAAATTATCTTTCCAATAAATTATCATAAAAATTAGTAAGTAATATAAAAAGCCATATTTTGACACTAATAGCGACCAAAAATTTTTATGCTTTGTATTAGAATTAAGATTCATTATATAGTTTAAAATACATAAAATATATATTTAATTTTTTTATTTTTGCATGATTTTAAAAGGGATCAGTTACTTTTGCGAAGTACTGTATGTCCAGTAAATACAAATCAGATCGACTTCGAAAAATTTTCACTTATAATTCATGATACCGTTGCACAGATACGTATTTCACCTATAATCAAAAAATTTTGTTTTATCGTTATTGTTATGCTTTGACGTTGATTATAGGCGTCACTAGTGTTAATTTTTTTATTTTAGGTTCTGATTCCAATTATTAGCTCCGATTTTATTGGTGCCAGAATCAATTTATCAAGTATCGGCGCCAGAGTTCAATTATGAGTTAGTGTACCGTATTTCACTGTAAACCTAAATCCGAAGCTATTAATTTAGTAGCAAAATTTTTTGAAGAAATTGCACCGTAAATCTTTTATTCATTTTGCAGATAAAATAATTGGTTTACTGAAAAAATTAAGGTTTAAATTGTCTAAAAAAGAGGGTCCTTTATGTAGCGAAATACGGTAATTTTTTCAATAAACATAAATTATTTATTAAAAAGCAAAATCAACTAATGATGATATGTTTCTTTATAGTCAAAATTGAACAATTAAAAAAGAAAATCAAAAGATAAGATAGTAATTCATCATTCGGGCTTAACTGCAGATAGGACTTTTGCGTATTGTGAATGGAAGTAAATATTAATTCTTTTTGAGAAAAATCCTTGCGGATTTAATCGGTATAAAGGACCGTTTTAATAATATCAACTTTTTCTAAATATTATTGCGTATAACAACATAGTATTTTATATCTGCATAGAGGGAAAATTATTTTTCTGAGTACGTACATGTATTAGATTTACATAAAAATTAATAGCATTGGGTTACCAGACCAGACAAAAGAAAATGTACACCAATAAAAGCCCACACTCGTACAAAAACAATTGATCTTCATTTAATTTAACTCGATATATCGACATAGTTTAGCTTGATATGTCAACACACCGACTATCATACATGTATTACGAGTTTAAGGTTACTGGAATTTATTCAAAAAACAATAACGATAACTATATATAAGTTATTAAATTTCTATAACTTGGATCAGAGTTGAATTTTATTCGTTTCTATTTGGAATAATTATAGAATAATATTTCACAATTTCATTAACTACCAATAACGTTAAGAGTCGTAAATTTAGTTCTCTTAAAAACCCCGTAAAAACTTGAAAGAAGCATATTTGTTGCCGATATTTAGTAAAATAAAATGCATAATAACTGAAAAATCTCACTTTTCCGTTTTAAATAAGTAAATAATATATTAAATATCATAATGACAATATTGCCAGCTTAGAATCATCTTATAAGGTCGTATATGGTATGGTGAACATGTTTATAAATTGCATAATCTATCAATAATTAATCAAAGTGAGGATATTAATAAGAATTTTTTACAAAACCGGAGCGGATTAAAATTCGTTTCCGAATATTTGTGTGTTTTCCGTATCCAAGTCAGCAACATATGTTGGTGTTTGGCAAATATCATGACCGTTTAACACTGTATTTGCTATTTTCTTTTGAGATCTTCGTCTCCTGCCGCCTGGTTTTTTAACGGATCTTTGATTTGGCTTTGGGTTCCACTTGGCCCATTGAAGATTTGCAGCCTTTGATAAGGATTCATATTTGGATTTTTTATATTCTGGTTGCCGTTTCCAAGC